ACGAAAACACCTTTAATTTACGGGATAGATTGAATGCATTCCTATATATAAAAAATTATGCTAATTTAATTTATTTGGTATTATAATTTGTGTTGTTTCTAAACAAAAAATAATGATTCATATGCAGGAAGTGATATTGTTGAATCATCTATCTCTCATCATGTGGCTTTGCTAGAGGGAACACATATAAAGGTAATTAATTAATTAATTAATATTTTTTAATTAAAATCAATTTAAGAAAAACACCCAAAAATGTGGAGGATCCCAAAATTGCTTTTCAAGAAAATGTTTAAAAATTGATGGGAATAAAAATCTAAAGGTCAAAAGTATCAGGAGATCTCAGATTCAAATCTAAGGAGAAATAAAAATCCCGGCCACGGAGGTTTAAATGCGGTGACTCCGGATTATCTGCAAAGCAGGTGGTCGTCTTGGGATCAGTCGACTCGCATAATGGGTTGGATATCCAGGTTAATAAAAAAATTGATGGGGAATTTTGGAAATCTTTTTTTGGTATTATGTGAAATATTTCAAAATTAAAAACATTAATGTCAATTTTATATTCCAAAAGTAGGAAAAAGAAATGTAAACCATACCAAATCATGCAATGGTCATGTTTATAGTTTTATTTAAAAAAAATCAATTAAAAGAATTTAAGTTTATTTATTTTTTACTTAATTAAATATTAATTTTGTTTTAAAAAATACAAAAGTAAGGATGTGATCGATAAGGAACCCTGAAATAAAAAACCCGTAAAGAACTCATTCAAACTGTTGGATTGAGATGATCTAACGGATCTGATTTATAACCGTCTTTTTAAAAAAATACAAATATTTACTCTTAAATTTGAATACAAAAAACAAGAAGATACGTAAATATTAGACCATGAAAAAAAAACAATCACTTTATTTATATTTAATTTGACATCCATTTTTTTCGTAATTTTTGAGTTCTTTTTTTATCAAGATTCTCTTTAAATTATTTTCCTAAAAGTATTACTTAATTTATAGCCTAAATGCTTGGAAAATGTTGGTACATAAGGAGAAGACTCCCATAATGTAAGGAGGCTTTTGAATTTGACTTTGACCTTGACCTTGACCTTGTGACCTTAAATTGCTTTGATATTAAATGATTTTTTCTATCATCATTTGTGCAATCCAATTAGAAGATTGATTCAAGATTTAAAACCCATGTTTCACATTGTATGAAAACTCAAAACAATAGATTTTTAGAATGCAAAAGTTAAAGTTAATAACGTATCTCCGTTGACGTATATATGCAGGGTTCAGAAAGACCGATAACGTCTGAATACCATGAGAAAGAAGAGGTTAAAAATGACGATGTTACAGTAACAGATTATCAGCCACCTCATCGGAAAACGCCAATTCATAACAAATGAGTTTTCGGGACATGAATATGCGTTTGCATGAAAGCATACACAGATAATGTTAGATGCATTCATGATATGTCATGTTTGCCAATATACCTCTGAAAATCATGTATGATATACGTAGTTCTTTAAAAAGATGTATTTCGGAGTTGAACTTTTTAATATATAAATTTATACAGATGGGAACCAGTCGAAAGCTAATACAGCGATTTTGCCTGTGTTTAATGTTTGTGCATGTAAACCCTTTGGGAGCTTATTGGTTTATGTTTATCTGTTAACTTTAGGGTCCCATAAAATTAATCAAAGTATATAAAAATCGATCAAGACACTGATATCCAAAATTGTTTTGTGCATGTAATTGCTTAATTTTGGACTTGATTTATGCAACCAATTACTTTGGTTAAAATAACTTTATCAAAAATTATATTATTAGTGGAATTAGATAGTTTTGCATCATGTAATTATGAATATAAAATTATTTAAAAAATCAATAAATAAAGTTTGTGGGACAACCGGTTATAGTTTTCGTCAAAAAAACAAGGCCTGGCCCGTACTGGTTATGGGCTCGGACCATGACCGGCCCAATTTTTCTTAAAAAATGTATTTTTAAATGTATTTCTAATAATCTAAGGAGTCATTTACCAAATGCTTACCCGAGTAAGTGTTTACCAAATCACATTACATTATCGGATGAATATGGTAAGTACTAAGAATCTTACCCCGTAAGAGCAACACAAGGACCAAGAGAACCTCGTAAGTGAGGGCAATGACTCTTACCACGGTAAGTGCTTACCGGGTAAATTGTTGTATACGATGCTTTTTGATAGACTAAAATTTTACCCGGTAAGTAAATGATAGTGTTAATTTTTGCCGGTAAGCACTTACCGGGTAAGCGTTTGGTAAACGACCCCTAAATGCATTTAATTGAAAATCAGTTACAAAATTATGATAAACATATTTTTTTAAATGTATCTAATTGTCTTATTTACCCTCTATTCACTATATACAAGTCATATGGTGTATAAGAAAAGATACCAACTCACAAATTTTTGCAATTCTCGCAATAAAACGTATTTTCTAAGTGTATTTAATTAACCCAATTACATATTTTCAAGTGTACTAGAATAACACTTTCGTGTTTTTTTAAAAGAACTTCAAAAAAAAGTGACATAAAAATCGAATTTCTTTTTTTACAAGGCCAGACTGGGACGGGTTCTCATAACCGGGCCTCATACACTTTAACTGGGCCTTTGTATTTGGGTCAGGACTGGAACTGGTTACACCGGAACCGGTTACAGGATCACTATTTTGGGACCAGCTCGGCCTGAGACCGATTTTTGGCCACCTATAATCTATTTCCGTGTCAGAAACGAGATAGGAATTATTTAAAGGGAACAAATTGCTATTACTCAAACTAGTCAAAGATTTAGCATACAACACACAGAAATAACATCACACAAAACATAAGCCTACGTAAAGAAAAAACAATACAACATGAAATTCAGGTTGGTCTGCATACTCATCTCATCATGGGATGGACTTGATTATAAGCAAGCTTCAGAGGTTTCAGAACCATCAGCCTTCTCCTGTCCGAACATGCGCACAACCTCAGCCACACCTTCCGCGATTTCCTTCTGAATCACACCATCCGGCATATCGAAGGTCCTCCTCTTCAAGGATACAGACCGCCCACCTGCGGGCTCTGGATCCACTACATCCAGCATTGCTTCCAGCTCGTCCACCATCGACCTTTTTGCACCCCTCACCATGATATCAGCACCCTGGTTTCATTTCAAACACCAATCATTTGATTATGAGGAGAAATAGCTGATGTACAATTGAAGTTCAAAACTCAACAAAAGGCTCACTTAGGAGCCGTAAGCGCGAATCGGATAAGAGTGTCATCTGGATAAGAGGTTCGGTCAGGGTAAGCTGACTGAAAATAGTTGTTTACCAGGTGTTTTCTAGCAAGTGTTAGCCGATCAAAAAGCTACCATTATAACCCTTTGAAAAACCCTAATTGCAAAAAAGGGTAGGCCTGCAAAGTACTTAAACTAAAGGCAGTATGGATAACGTTGTCTGTGTGGATTAATTTGTCTGTATAGATTGGGAAGGTTTTTGTTTCATATGGTTTTTCATAGATGGAACGAGCGTTTTTCTAATTGGGAGGAGCATGTTTGGAAAAACTTACATTTCTGCATAAAACTCATCCATAGAAACTTACTAAATAAGTCACCTTCTATATCATTAAGCCACTTCCAAAAAGTCCGGGGTATAGCTCACCGAATAAGCTATGAGTCTCATTAAGCTCGTTAAGGCTTAAGCTGCTAACTCTGGAAGTGAAATAATAATGCTGGGTGCTTAGTCAGCATGCAGCACCTTTGGTCAGATCAGTCCTAGGTAAAAAATGTTGATGCTGACCTAGTCAGCAGCAAGTAAACAAACCCTTAATGTGGTCATCAGGAAGTGATGATCTATATACTTCATTTGCAAGAAAATCACAGCCAAAAACAAGATTATTTTGATGACCATTAGCATAAGCTACTGAAACACCAATATATGACTCTTATCATGCTATCAGATTTCACATAACAATCTACTTATATCCTTAAGATACTTGATGAAAGATATGCAATCATCTCTTAGCCAATATGATCATAAAAGAACTTGACTAATGAACACATATATAGATTTGCATAGTACCAAAGGGTGTAGCATATAAAGACCATAGATTTACCTCAATGGCATCGACGGTGAGAAGCAGAACGATAACCTTCTCAGAGAACTTCTGTTTCTCAGCTGCATCACGAGCCAGTCGACGACGATAAGAGAAATTCTGGAACAAAGCCCTGAGCTCCTTCAGCTTTCCCTTAGCAACAGCCAACTCACGAAGAGCGCGAAGAGCCTGAGATCTCTTGATCAAATAAGCTCTAAAAGTCATCTGTATCACAAGGGCTGCATCCTGAGGTGACAACTCCTTCTTCTTCCCTTTGTTCCTCTTAGTAAATGCCTACCAATATATTCAAACTTCTATCAGCAGATAGATCTTGATCCCTATAGTTACTGTTCCCAGTACTTCAAATTTGATCAACAGATAATATTAAGTGCTAATCTGGTATCGAATCACGCTACAATGTGCAGCAATTCTACTTATTGTTCTATCTATCATCTAGAATGAATTCAATTAACAAATCAAAACAGTAACCAAATCATGAAGTTTGAAGTTCAAATAGATAATTAGTTTAAGGGATTTGTTTGGAAAAGTTAATGGAAGGAGACCTGTCTCAAGACAAGAGCGCCATGATCAGGGGAACCTTGGATTTCGACGATCCGAGCTGCTTTCTCTTTCTTCTTATCCTTCTTCTTCTTCTTCTCTTTCTTCTCTGATCCACTATCATCTTCAATGGCGGCATTGGCAGTTGACGCCGTGAAAGAGTACTTCCGTGCATCGTGTCCCTTCCTTTTAACCTCAGCCGTCCATTTGCAGCTCTTCTCCTTCTTCTTTCCTCCCTTGATCTCCGTTACCAATTTGTATGTCCGATCTAAACCATCCTTGTCGGAGCTGTTAATCTCTGCCGTCCACGTGTACTTCCGATCGGACTTCACCTTCTTCTTCTTCTTCTCCTCGTCTATCAGATCAAAACCTAGCTCGAGAGCAGAGACACGGTCGGAGAGTGACTGAAGATACAAGTCCGTGGCTGTGGATCGGCGCCTGGTGGTGAGCTGCCGAGCTGAAGTGGTGCCGGAGGGAGTCTTTCGCTCAACGTGAATGAAATCAGTGATGGTATCAAATGGAGAAAGGAGATCAAGTGAGGGGTAAGTAGGGTTTAAGAGATCAAGAGCTAAATCAAGATCAGGGGTGGGTTGAAAGGGGTTTAGAAGAGCAAAGGGTTTAGGGAAAAAGAAAGGTGATGAGGATTCAGATAAGAAGAAATCGATGATGTCAAGTTTGGCGTTTCGATTCATGGTTGGATATCAATGGCGGATGTTCTGATACTGATTGAGGGAGACACAGATGAAGGAGATAAAAGAAAATGGACGGTGGTGCGTCAGGGCTAAAAGTGGAAATTAGTAAACGCCCAACGGATTCTCACAATTCACAATCAATTTCAAAATTTAAATATATACAATATTTAATATAATATTACGATAATATTTACGTCATAATGTATTGTGTGTATTATTTCATAAAAAAAATCATTTATAGTCTAGATTTAGTGTAATTAATTAATATATATTTGTTTCGTAACGTAAATATTTTTATGTGTTTGTGAAATAGAAAATACAATTAAAATGTTTTACATTGTGAATTGAATACATATAAAAAAAATCGTACTGTAAAATAAATATATGTTAAGATGAACAATTGTGTGAGAATAAGATTTAATATGAGAAGTGTAGAAAGAAATTTAGACTTTTGATCACTTTTAATCTCAAACTAACACGTGAATTACGTTTTATAAAAAAAAATTAATTTGGTGCTTTTCATTAGTATTGATTTAGTGGAACTTTTCAATTATAATTGATTCAAAAGTGTAGATTATTTTTTATTATTCTCGTTATAACTCTCATTTTTATCAAAATCCAACCCTATATATTAAATTATAACCCTAAGATGATAAAACTCATAATATAATAAAATTCTTAAATGAATAAACCACTTATCTTATAACTTAAGATAAAATTAACATGTTATCAATAAAAATAGATATAAAATATGAAATTCTAAAAAGGAAACTGTCGTTTGAAAAAGAATTATTATATTAAATAAAAGTTATATTAAACTTTGTGATATTTGGATATATTTTAAAATTAAAATAGGGGTGGGTTAAATGCACCATATGCATTACTTAATGCATTTTTATCCATGAATTTCTTCTTCACATACATCAACATCAATACATGTTTTTTACATTCCCAATATTTAAATGACCTGATTCTAACATCAAAGAGGATGTCATTAACACTCCCCTTAAAATATCCCATTTCTAAATTCTAATTTCTTTTCAAATCAAATAAATTCGATTACACGTATACATAGACAACGGAATCTAACATGTACGGCGTCAAAAATCAGTGGTGGAGCGCATGTGGGTTTTCTTGTCTTTTTGCACTATTGAGTCACCTTTCACCAGCTCCAATCTTCCATGTATCCACCTAATCTATATCCCTTTTTTACATTTTTACCCTTTGTGTGGTAAATATTCATATTATCTAATAAATACCAGAAAATAGAGAAATTAGCTTAAATAATTATTTACCTCATTTAAATTGACCTCCTAGCCATTTCTTTCTTTGGTTGACAAAATATCATTACATATGTAATACCTATTACGAACCTAGCTAAAAGATAATAATAAAATGTCAAATTCAACCGGTTTATCGTCGTAATTGTATATTTGTGTTAAATTTTTGGTCTTTAGCTAGATAAGCAATATTATATATGAGTCTAATCAAATGAGAACTATGTAGTTTGTGATAACTATGAGATCCAATGTAAACCATTCATTTAAAATATTCAATGATATTTCTTAAACAAGGTAGAAAGAGTTTAGTAATTTTATTTATAACAACTCATTTAGTAAGTTTTTTTAAAAGAAGTATTTGATTAATTTTAATTACCTAATTTATATTGTTTTTTAAATATGTTTATGGATCAAAGTGTATCACCGTGGTTCACAATGTATTTTTGTTGTTTTTAAAGTTTAACATAATGCATTTTTGTTACTTTCGTTGTTTTGGAAAGGGTATCATGATGTGTATTTTTGTTATCTTAGCTGCTTTACAAAGGTATCACAGAGTGTATGTTGTATGTATATATGAGTATCATTGTTTGTATGTATCTTTTTTTTTAACGATATCTTTTTAGGTATTACACTGTGTATATTGCATTTACATGAAGTTCGTCGGAATAAGATTTCTCGGGATAAGGTTCGTCGAAGAGAGGAGAGAGAAGATTTTTAAAATCTCTAAAATGCCCTTAACTAATATTTTAAGTTAAAAATACTATGCTTATTAATTTTCTAATTTAACATTTGATTCGTGGATCTCACAGTTATCATAAATTATTGAGTTCTCCCTTGAATATATATATATATATATATGTATATACACACACACACACACACGAACGATCGTGTGAGAAGAGAAGTTATGGTGAGAAACATAAGAATATATCTGAACATTTGATCACTTTTAATCTTATACATACCAATGAATTATGCTTTAGAAGATAATTGATCTGATACATCTCGGTGCACTTCATTAATGTTAATATTCAATTATGATTAATTTAAGGATGAAGATTTTTCTTATACTTCTTACTATAACTTTTCTTCTCATTGGAATCCAACTATATATATATATATATATATAGAGAGAGAGAGAGAGAGAGAGAGAAAAAAAGAACATTTCAAATACAACTTATCATATTTGTATTCAGATATTTATGAAAATGATGAGGGTTCATTTATTATAATTTGAATATTTATGGAAGATGACTATAACCTATTAATTATGATCAATATTTTATATTAGAAAACAATCATTAAATTTTTATGAGATCATATATTCATCAAATTAAATGTACGATTGAGATTGAGTTGTTTTCATTGTACAAATATAGAGAATTGCATAATAATTCACATATATATATATATATATATATGTGTGTGTGTGTGTGTGTGTGTGTGTGAGAGAGAGAGAGAGAGAGAGAGAGATAATAGAGGAAAAGAGAAGCCGATTAGGCTTTTTATGTGACAAATGATTCTTCTCCTTTTCTTAAAAAAAGAAGTCTTTTAAAATCTTGCTTTGCTAGTTTGCTTAATTGTCGGCTTTTATATAAAAAATAAATTAAATTAAATGATATTATATATTAAAAATAATAAGGTATGGGAAACAAAGGGCCGTGGAGTGGGCCATATTCATTAGGTATATTCCCGTGGGCTGTAATGGGCGTCATGGCACTTCGGATCCAAGGAATTTGACTTCCAATCACAAATTTTTTATGCTTTTTTTATTTATTAAATTACATAATATGATTATTATCGTCACTTAGATTTCATTCTAAAAAACACTAAAAACTGTAACTCACGTCTAATCTTTTATACATTCAAATGCATATTAATATTAATATTAATAATTATTAATCAATTCGGATGACTTTTCTTTATTCAAAAATTATTTCTATCTTATTTTTTGGAAATTCAAAAAAAAATGACATCTGGTTTTTGGGTTGTCTGACTTTTTAAAGGGTATATATTCATGTTACGGTTTGTTTGGGATTGTTTATTTGAAACAACTTATGTTTTTTCTACAAAAGCACTTATCAACTTATTATAAGTTAGAAGAGTTTAACTTCTTCAAAAACTTCTTATTACCGGTTTGACACCGTTATAAGTTGTTCATCCAAACACTTAAAAATGCTTATTACCGGTGTCATACTGAAATAAGTCAATAAGTTGTTTTTATAAGCAATCACAAACAACCACTTACTATTGTTGAAAGTCTATTTGGTGTGTGGGCTTGGTATCAAAGATGAAGTGTTGTATTTTGACACCAACAACATACACACAACACAATCACATAGGTTCTGATTTTACAGATTAAAAAGGGGTTACCATAATGGTCGTTGAAAATTAATATCAGGGATGTTACAACACTGGATTAGAGGCATATAGTTGTGATTTTGTATGTGACGCTGTCACATCATCGGGAAGAAGGATTATTGTTTGCTTAAGACATTGAACACATTTGGGATCTAATTATTTCCACATTCATTGTTGTTTTGTCTATACATGTTGATTCTTTTTTGTAGAACCTCTGTGTATCGTTTCAGAAAATACCAGTTGACGAAGACAACCTTTTCCTCTATACCTTAATAAATAGAGATGTTGTTTTCGTGAAAACCACTAACTTGCGAAAATAGTTTTGGAACAAAAAATATTTGAGATACAAAAAATTTGTCAGTTTTTTCATAATAGCCAATAATCTACATGTTAAAAGTTCAAATTTCAAATTTGCACCGGTAACTCAATGTATGCCAAGATGTCACAATCTTACACCATTTAAAATTTTAATATTTTTGTTAGGACACCATAAGAACTCAAACAAATATAAAACAAGTATTTTCAAAAAAAACAAAACTCAAAAAAATTGACAGAGGCTGCACAAGTGGTGGATCATGTGGTTAGTGATCTACAGGAGTGGTAGAGGTACCAATCAGGTTGCTTTAACAAGCTAGTTATACTAGATATGTTAAACTAGTAGGGAGCTCGATCCCTAGATGTTCCAAGAACTGCCAAAGGGGAAGGTACAGCGCGCTCCATCTACAGAGTATATGTATTTATACTATCTTATAAAGCAAATTTAACAAAAGTCTTCAAGTCTTAAAATATTAAATGATCAAGATACCCTTTATATCACTTTTTCACCCCCTTCTCTCCTCACATACACTCACCCTTTCACAACCCGATTTTTTTTTAAATTATAATTTTAAATTTACACTTTATAACCCTATAATTAGTTAATTAATTTACTTTACGTTCTTTACTTTTAAATGTTTCATTTTAAACCTTTATCAAATTAATATACATAATCGTATATCAATTAAAA